TGTTGGCCAGGCTGGTCTCAAACTTCTGACCTCAAGTGATCCACCCATCTCCCAAAGTGCTGAGATTACAGGCATGAGCCACCACGCCTGGCCAGGTTACAGTAATTTTGACAGTTACTTTAGTTAGAGCCATGATAATCCCTCCCTCAATGAGATTTACATAATTAATTGGCACGTATCACATTTTGCTTTTGAGGAAGTGTTATTAATAACATGCCTGTAACTTACAGAAAATTTAATGTAGTTGAGTGCACTAGCTCGGATATACAACTTTACATTATCATTTTGTGTGTCTGGGATATAAAGCATTCTTTTTGGTGAAATATTCAACCTCAACCTTCATCAGAATGCAATTTAAAATATTGGAGGCTTCCTATGAAAAAAGTATTTTAAACGTATACAAATGACCCTTCAGAATAAATTGTAGTGTGCATTTCAAAATTTGTAAGGGTTACCCATAATTCTCCACAGCACTGGCCAGGCTTCTAAAGAAACAGTCATGTCCAGCCTATTGTGTTTAATTGATTTCTGAATATGTGAGGCCAGATTTTGGTGAATTTAAGAGTGTCTACCTGCAGTGTGTGTGTGTGTGTGTGTGTGTGTGTGTGTGTGTGTGTGTGAGAGAGAGAGAGAGAGAGAGAGAAAGAGAGAGACAGAAAGAGAGAGAATATAATCAGATTTTTAAATGCTATAATTATTTATTCTTCCAAGAATGCTTATAGTTAAATATTTGGGTCTTTGTCTAGTAAGAATGCAAAATATGACTTTAAAAAGAGATTGATAGTGTGACACCATGGATGAACCTTGACAACATTATGCTAAGTGAAACAGGCCAGTAACAAAAGACCACAGATTGTGTGATTCCATTTATATAAAATGTACAAAAAGGGAAAATATGGTCCATAGATTAGTGGTTGCCTAGGATTGGGGGATGGGCAATTGGAGGGAAATGAGGAGTAACTGTTAATGAGGTTCCTTTTGGGGGTAATGAAAATATTCTAAAATAGATTGTAGTGATGGCTGCATAATGATATGAATAAATTTAAAACTATTGAATTGTACAATTTTAATTGGTGAACTATATGGTATGCGAATTAGGACTGTGAAAAGAAATACTTTAGGCAAGTTAAAATTTACAGAATTTAACTGAGCAAACAGAAAAATAGTTTTAAGAACCAGGCAGCCCCCAGAATCAGAACAGATTCAGAGATTCTGGGGCTGACCCATGGTTGGAGAAGATTTATGGACAGAAACAGGAAAATGACATACAGAAAACAGAAGTGAGTATAGAAACAGCTGGGCCTTTGCCTTATTTGAGCAGGGTTTGAATAGCTGGCTGCCTGTGAGTGTGGTTGTTGAAGTATGGCCACTGTGATTGGCTGAGACTCAGCTATTGTTATAGACACCTACTCCTAAATTAGGTTTTCAGTTTGTTTACCTACCAAGTTAGGTTTCAGTTTATACCTAAGAATTCGAGTATACAAGTACAAAGGCTTTCTCAGGCCAAATTTTAGTTTGATTTAACAGATCTCTGTATAGCTGCTATTCAAAAAGAGGAGATTGACAGAATTAGGCTATTAAGCACAAACAAAACCATACTAATGAGGATATGACATGAAAGGATCTGTAATTGCAAGGAAGAAACTGAACTCATAGCAATCAAAAGTGCCTTTGGAGATAAAGTCATCCACTTCTTGGTTACCATGATCCCTTTTTTGTCACTGTCACAGAAAGAAGAACATAGTGCTTTAATTTACCACAAAAGAGATGTAAATTAAACATTACCAAAAAAAAAAAAAAAAACCATTTAAATCAAGCCAGAAACAGAACCTAGACAGTTAAAGGTGATATAGTGCTTTTCTGATACTTTTAAAAAGGTTTGAATTACCATATGACTAAATCGGTCGAGGTATTTAAATTATGCCACAGTTTTCATAAATACTTGCAGTTATAAAGATAATTGGACATTGGTCTAAGTAACCAAGAAGTGCCTTAGGAAGTGTCACAGAAGGTTTGAGGATAAGAAGTTTCAGTCTGAATCAACACACATCTCTTGGATAATTCAGAACCAATAATGTTTTCACTGGTTTGTTTCTTTATCAATCCCATAGAGTCACCTGAACAAGGGTAAAAATAGAATGTAAAGTGACTCCTTCAGGGAAGCACTCCCTTTCATACACTGAGCAAGATTATCATAGCATAAATCCCATTTAGTGGTTGGAATAGGGTAGGCCTATCACTAAGTTTAATTAAGGCTTTATAAAAAGTTGTAAATATTTGGGAGTCCTCTGGAAAGGACACCACGTGAAATGAGATCATATGCCTAACGTAATCCTAAGTCAGAAGTTATCAAACTTTACTTGTAAAGGGCCAGATAGTAAATATTTTTGCATATGAGCCATACAGTGCCTGTTGCAACTGCTCAACTCTGCTGTTGTACTACGGAAGCAACCATAAAAAATAAACAGGCTGGATG